CTTTGCCTTTCATTGTCCTTGCGCATGCTCCAAAACGCGTCGTATTGCATGCTGGACATCCCTACGTCATCACGCTGATGTCGACATTGTGCTCTAGGGTGGCCTCCGGACGCCATCTTTGGATCTCACACATGCCGGCCGGCTCCTTGTGAACATCCCGAGTCTCCTCCAGTGCTTACTACGGTGTATACATCGAGGACGCCGCCATGACCTTTGCTTTCACAACATATGCCTAAGCCTTTTGTTTTCTTTCATCATGTGTTTCTCATGTTCCTCAATAAATGTACCACATATTGCACTTAGAGGGGCTTTTCTCCTTTTTAGATATTGCCAAATTACCTGTGGGGCCGTATTACACTGGAACACGGGCCACAATTGGCCCGCGGGCCAGACTTTGGACATGCCTGGCCTAGATGGATAAGGCTTTTCATTTCAAGGGCTTACTCTAAAGACAAGTCTCCTGCGAGAATACTTGCTCACTTCAACAGATGTGGTAGTTCCAAGGCATTACAGCATCAAGCCTCTGTTGCCCAGCTTTGAAAGGGCACCACCTGGTCTATTCATACCTCTTAAAAGTTCTACAGGAGGACTTCAAAACTTTGGCTGTGGGGCTCTTGCAGTGGCACTCTGAAGTTGGGTCACTTGACCATTGTTCTTGTTGGGCCTGTTGGCAGTTTGTTTACATAGTTGTTGCCCATCCTTCATTGTTAGGGGACGACCCAGGGTCTATGAAGCATGTGTCCTGTATGTAAAACGCACCTGACCTGCAACAGATCATTCTGAAAAGTTCCATAGGAATACATGGCCATGCATTTCTCTTCTGCTTTTTTTAACACAAAGTGGGAAGAAAAACAAATCTGTGTGAAAGCAGCCTTAGTCTGAGTAAAATAGATACAACACAAACTTCAGACCTATGCAGTTTGCGTTTGATCAGTTTCTGCAGTGCGTTATGCGTTTCTGCCGCATTTTCTTTTTTTTTTTTACTTGTTGCTTGCCAGATTAAAAACATCAAAAATGCACTATATGCTTTTCTGCAGCATCTCTATTGAAGTCTATAGAACCAAAAATGCAACTTGTGTTCAAAAAAGTCCCTGACCCTTTCCAAAAAAACGCACTGGGTGAAAACGCAGAGATGTGAACCTGTCCCATAGGAAATTATGTTAAATGGACTGCTGTGCATTTGTGGAAAACACATACTGTAGGTGTGAACCTAGACTAAGGGCCTGTGGCACGAATATAACTGGCATAAAAACTGCATGCCACAGTGTTTTCCACTTATTCCAATGGCTCTAGTTCACACCAGTGCAGTTAACAAAAGTGGAACTTGCTGTATCTTTTCTGTATGAAATGCATGTAAATGCACCACGTTGTCCTGGATTTTTCAAGTGTCTAAATAAGAAAAAGAAAAGAAAAAAACATACTGGAACATATCAAAAACCTGTGTAAATGTGTATGCAAAAACACATCCAGGATGCAGAAATTGTGGCGTGAACCATCCCTGACAGCCAAAAGTCTTTTCTGTGCCACACTCCTTAGGTCTAGGGCAGGGGTATTGAATTAAAATTCAAGGAGGTCCGGTCACTAAGAATTTCTTCTGGCTGAGGTCCGAATAGGATGTGCCCATCAATGTGCCCCCTTACATTAGGTGTCGCCATCAGAGTGCAGCTTTACATCATGTATTCCCATCACTTCAGGTGTGCCCATCAGAGTGCCTCTTTACATCAGGTATTCCCATCAGAGTGCCCCCTTAAACTCAAAAGTACCCCTTTCTATATTTCCACATCAGAGTGCCACTTTACACCATATTCCCAATCAGAGTGCCCCTTTCCATCACATGTGCCCATCAGAGTGCCCCTTTCCATCATATGTGCCCATCAGAGTGCCCCTTTCCACTGTATGTGCCCATTTGTGCCCCCCTTAACATACAATGTGCCCATCAGAGTGCCCCTTAACATCAAATAAGGGGCATGCTGATGGATACATTTTATGTTAAGGGTACTCTGATGGGCACATTCTATGCTGTGCCCATCAGAGTGCCCCTTAACATTAAATATGCCTGTCAGAGTTCCCCATAACATAAAATAAGGGGCATGCTGATGGGCACAGTTATATTAAGGGGCACTCTGATGGGTACATGTTATGTTAAGGGGCACTCTGATGGCTTGTTATGTTAAGGGGCACTCTGATGGGCACATTTATGTTAAGGGGCACTCTGATGGGCACATGTTATGTTAAGGGGCACTCTGATGGCACGTTATGTTAAGGGGCACTCTGATGGGCACATTCTATGCTGTGCCCATCAGAGTACTCATTAACATAATGTGCCCATCAGAGTGCCCCTGTAAGACTACACCCTACCTGGGGGGCAGACAGCTGTGCCAGGATCCTTGTATATAGGCAGGGAGTGGGAGCTGGTGAGACAGTGAGCTGAAAAGGGCGGGGTGCACATGTGATGTCATGTTGCCGTGATGACCGCCCTGCTCAATGGCGGATCTGTCATTGCGGGCTGGCAGTCCGAGCAGTAGCGCTGCTGGGAGCCGTTCGCGGTCTGCCATTTAATGACCACTGGTCTAGGGTATGTGAAAAGCAGTTCTACATAACGGGTCCTCCGCTGCCGCAGCAGCCAGAACTCTCTATAGACCCTGCATTGGACTTCATGACATCAGAGGACCTGCCACTACAGAGTATAGGAAAGAAGAGGCTGCATGGACAACCTCCTTTAGATCCACCATCATCTATGTAATGTATGGACCTGTGCAATTGGATAGAAATTGACTGGATTGAAATGGTTTGTCTTTATATGATATATTTTTGGTAAATTTAAATGAGATTGTACAATCCCCTATACAATCAGAATGCAGTGTGTTGTACAATCCCCGTACAATTAGAAGTCAGTGTGTTGTACAATCCTCGTACAATCAGAATTCCGTGTGTTGTACTATCCTCGTACAATCAGAATGCCGTGTTTTGTACAATCCCTGTACAATCAGAATGCAGTGTGTTGTACTATCCTCGTATAATCAGAATGCAGTGTGTGTTATACTATCCTCGTACAATCAGAATGCAGTGTGTTGTACTATCCTCGTACAATCAGAATGCAGTGTGTTGTACTATCCTCGTACAATCAGAATGCAGTGTGTTGTACTATCCTCGTATAATCAGAATGCTGTGTGTTGTACAATCCCTGTACAAGCAGAATGCAGTGTGTTGTACTGTCCTCGTACAATCAGAATGCAGTGTGTTGTACTATCCTCGTACAATCAGAATGCAGTGTGTTGTACTATCCTCGTACAATCAGAATGCAGTGTGTTGTACAATCCCTGTACAATCAGAATGCAGTGTGTTGTACTATCCTCGTACAATCAGAATGCCGTGTGTTGTACAATCCCTGTACAAGCAGAATGCAGTGTGTTGTACTGTCCTCGTACAATCAGAATGCAGTGTGTTGTATAATCCCTGTACAATCAGAAGTCAGTGTGTTGTACTATCCTCGTACAATCAGAAGTCAGTGTGTTGTACTATCCTCATACAATCAGAATGCCGTGTGTTGTACAATCCCTGTACAATCAGAATTGCAATTTTGGAATCCCTTCAAATCTTTGCGTCTTACACCCCAGTCACACCAATCCCAAGTTTGAAATCGTGCAACTTACAGTGAAGTCGCACGATTTCAATGTCGGGTGACTTGCTGATTTGAGTTCCAATTTGCATAGACAGCTGACCCAGATGTCTATGCAAATCGAACCAAAAGTAGTGCATGCACTACTTTAGAAATCGGTGCGGATCCGACCAAGTCAGAACCGCACCGATATGACCGCTGTAATTGCAGACAATAGTGTGCGACTTGGCATGCGATTTGCAAGTCGTATGGCATGTAAATTGCATGCCAAGTCGTACCTGGTGTGACCGGGGACTTAAAGGTTCCTGCGCTACTTTAATGCGACTCTGCGTGCCAGAGAGTGCAAAGTCGCACTCAATACTTTCCTATTGGAAAACAAAAAATGCATAAAAAAAACAGAACACTTGTGTCTTTGATGTGGTTCAATTGAAGCCTACAGCAGCAAAAACGCAATCTGCTGCGGGAATACGTCCCCACCCTTTTTCAAAAAAGCGGCTGAAAACACATAGATGTGAACGTGTCCTATAGGAAACCATGCGACATGGACTTTAGTGCATTTCTGCAAGACGCACTAAGGGCTGGTTCACACCGCCACGATTTCAGGTGCAATTTTGGAATTGAAATCGGACCTGAAATCAGATCTAATAAATGTGAATGTCTTAACATACGCAATTTGCTGCAGCGCAATTTCAAAAGTAGTTCTTGTATTACTTTTTATGAAGTTTGTTGCAATTTCACATAGACGACAATAGAAATCGCACTGCAAAACACAAGAAATCATTGGGAAATCTTCAGAAAACACGGCAAACAAAATGTACGATTTTCAGCAAAACACGGCAAACAAAATGTTAAATCACATCCAGCGTGAAGGAAGCCTAAAAAAAACACGTGTGAACCAGGGTGCAAATCACACCCGCAAATGGGATCACCCCAGCGGGGGTTCTTGTAATGAGCTGCGAGTAGGAAACCCCATTGAAAGCAATGGGAAGCTGCCCACTCTTGCGGTGCATGTAATCGCACTTGTGAGTAATCGGCCCTGGTCGCCGGCAGTGTGTACACGCCCTACATCATGAATCCCAACCCCCATCACTATCACCTCTGCTGGCCAGCTTGGTGGGCAGGTTCATGTGGAGAACAATATCAATAAAGATACGTGAAAAAAAAAAAACTTGTTAAGCGTGTGCCTAGTGAACAGAAATGCTGATTAGACATTAGAAGAAGTCCTGAGAATGACATCCAGCACACGTGTGTGTACCTCCATCACCCCACCCTCTGATCTCTGTATGGCTGGCAGTGAGAGGCGGATCAGCCTGCCAACCCCAAGATGGCGGCGCCCATTGCAGTGACCCGGAAGTGTCCTCGGCTGGAACATTGAGCGGTCATGGCTGTGCTCAGGGGTGTCCTGCGGAGAGGTGGGTACCTAGGAGTCAGTTTGGAGGATGTAAGCAGGGATCATGGGTTTCTGTCTAGAACTGGAAAGGTCAGAACCGCCGGTGTAGCAGAGAGAGTGTGTCTGCCCGGGGTGTAATTGCTATCGGGCATAGATAAGCAGGATGGAGGGGGTCTTTGGTTGTGCCTGCAGATCAGCTTGCTGTGAATGAGTTGAAGCAGACTGCCTCAATCGAGTACCTATGTCAGGCTTAAAGTAGAACTGAAGTTATTATCCCGGTCAGGTTTCTTTCTGCCATTTGTGTCCCATGGGGGGAGATTTCCCTTCACTTCCTTTCCCTTAGTCAAAACAGGAAGTGAAAGGAAAGCTGTTAAAAGTGAGGAAATCCCTGGTTGTCACCAGAACTGTTGGGAAATTATTTATTTCAGGTACTTCTATAGCACCACCAAATCACACACACACACACACACACACGTGTATTATACATTCACATCAGTCCCTAACCCTAAAGGGGTGTACAGTCTAAGGTCCCTAACTCACATTCATACATCTATCCATTCAGTCGTATCCGACCCTTTGCATGGACCGTCACTTGTAAGCAACTTTTTCCATGAATTCTCTTAGCAATTATTTTTCAGGGTAGGTTGCCAGGTCTTTCCCCAACCCCTACCATGCAGGAGATCCCGCATGGCCAGGGATTATTCATATATACTAGCGCCAATTTAGACAGGATCCAATTAACCTGCTAGCATGTCTTTGCAGTGTAGGAGGAAACCAGAACGCCCGGAGGAAATCCATGCACCAGCATGCCTTTGTGTGGGAGGAAACCCACGCAGGCACAGGGAGAACATGCAAACATCAGGCAGGTGATGCGTGGCTGGGATTTGAACTAAAGACCTTATTACTGCCAGGCGGAAGTGCTGACCGTTTAGCCACTGTGCTGCTCAGATTTCCTCTCTATTGCTGTACTGGGGATAACCTGAAGTTTTTGGTGACAACAGTAAACAGCAAAAATAGAGAGGGTTAATCTCCCTATTGGGGACACAGACCGCAATAAAAACCCGACAGTGTTTCTAATCCCTATCCACAACGAAACAAAATTAAATAAATAAATGCCTCTAGTTGTACTTTTTTTTTTTTTTTTTAAGTGTACCTTTACCCTTTGGGGCCCCTTTCACACTACTCTGGTGCAGTTTCTTTGCAGTACGGTGCAACGTAGCGTACCTGCAGTATTCACGCCTGTTACACACACTTTTCCATAGACTACTGTTCGATCGGGCATTTTTGGTGTGCTTTCAGGAAACACAATTAAAAAAAACCTGATCTAATAGACGTCTAAGTGTGGGTAACCCTCAGAAAGTCGCAGGTATACTCACTGAACTGCGAGGAAATCACACCAGAGAAGTGTGAAAGGGACCTATGGGTGAAGTCCCCCCTTTTTCTTTGAGACTTTATTTGTGCTTTGTTACCGTCTCTTGCGTGTGCACAGATGTGCCGCAGGACTCCGGTCCCGAGAGATATGGCACATCTGATCATGCACGGGGGGGTTCCCGGTATTTGCACACGCACAAAGACTGCTAACAGGGGAGTTGGAAACCTCTGTCTTGGAAGTGCATATGTGCAGCATTACCATGGTGCGTATCCTGGCTCTGCACTGTCTGAGCACACTGATCAGTGGCTGCAGATGATGACCAAGGAAAATTTTTCAACAAACCTGTTCGACAGAAGTCAATTGTTAAATTAACTTTTGTCAAGTGGAAGCAGCCACACATGTACCCAACTTGGGCTGGGCGATGCTGAACTGGCCAAATTTTGAACCTTATGGCCATCTTAACACTGGTGGCGCCCTCTAGACAGTGATCTACAGTGGATCGCTTTCAGAGAGTGTTTGACAGGCAATGAGGGGACGTTGTGTCACCTCCTTACTGCCTGCTTTAACACCTAAAGTCTGCACCACAGCTGTGTGTATTGAACGTGGTTGCCATTCAGCCACATCCGATAATTGTGAACACACCTTAAAAACACAGAGGTCCTCCCGTCACATTAGAGACCCCCTTCATGTAAGAGGTCTCTGCATGACAGCAGATATTTCTCCTATTGTGTCAGAGGCCCCCTTCATGTCAGGGGTCCTCCCTTCACTTCAGATCCCCCTCTCCGTCACATTAAAGTCCCCTCTTCATGCCAGAGGTCCTCCCATCACATTAGAGGCCCCCGTCATGTCAGAGGTCCACCATCACATTCTGGGCCCCCTTCCTGTCAGAGGTCCTCTGATCACATTAGAGACCTCCTTCATGTCAGAGATCCTTCCATCACTTCAGAGGCCCCTTGATATAAGCAGTCTCTCCATCACATCAGAGATCCCCCATCATGTCAGAGGCCCACCTTCATGTCAGGGGTCCTCCCATCACATTAGAGTCCCCTCTTCATGTTACATTTAAGGTCCCTCTTCACATTGTAGTCAGCCTTTCACTTTAGAGGCCTCCTTATACATGAGAGCCCCAATCACGTTAGAGTTGACCCTAAACTTCAAAGGTCTCCTATACATGAGTCCTCCCTTCCAGTGTGCACCATGGAAATTCTTGATGCTGAACCAGGGCAAACTGGGTCCAGTGCTCACTGCACCCCAGGGGAACCCAGGCAGTACTCCAAGTAGGGTTGCCACCTCATACCTTTAAAACTGAACACATCACATTAGAGGTCCCCCTTCATGTAAGAGGTCCTCGCATCACATTAGAGGTCCCCCTTCATGTAAGAGGTCCTCGCATCACATTAGAGGCCCCCTTCATGTCAGAGGTCCTCCTTCATGTCAGAGATCCTTCCATCACTTCAGAGGCCCCTTGATATAAGCGGTCTTTCCATCACATCAGAGATCCCCCATCAAGTCAGAAGCCCACCTTCATGTCATGGGCCTACCATCACATTAGAGTCCCCTCTTCATGTCACAGTTAAGGTCCCTTTTCACATTGTAGTCATCCTTTCACTTTAGAGGCCTCCTTATACATGAGAGCCCCAATCATATTAGAGTTGTCCCTAAACTTCAGAGGTCCCCTATACACGAGTCCCCCCTTCAGGTGTGCACCATGGATATTCTTGATGCTGAACCAGGGCAAACTGGTTCCAGTGCTCAGTGCACCCCAGGGGAACCCAGACAGTACTCCAAGTTGCATTGCCACCTCATACCTTTAAAACTGAACACATCACATTAGAGGTCCCCCTTCATGTCAGAGCCCCCCCTTCATGTCAGAAGGGTCCCCCCCCCCCATCACATTAGAGGCCCCCTTCATGCCAGAGGTCCTCCCATCACTTCAGAGGCCCCTTGATATAAGTAGTCTCCATCATATCAGAGATCCTCCATCATGTCAGAGGCCCACCTTCATGTCATGGGCCTATCATCACATTAGAGTCCCCTATTCATGTCACAGTTAAGGTCCCTTTTCACATTGTTGTCATCCTTTCACTTTAGAGGCCTCCTTATACATGAGAGCCTCAATCACATTAGAGTTGCCCCTAAACTTCAGAGGTCCCCTATACACGAGTCCCCCCTTCAGGTGTGCGCCATGGATATTCTTGATACTGATACTTTTAAAACCAAACACATTAATTACACAGATTCTGATGTTAATGTATTGCAGATAAGGCACGAAGTGAGTTTATTTACCCCGATAATCAGCCACAGAACCTGTGTAATTAATGTGTTCAGTTTTAAAGGAATGAGGTGGTAACCCTAACTCCAGGTTGCTGCAGTACCTTGATTGGGAAAGACTGCAGTAGACCACAATGCATCAGTGTGCACCACGACGTTTATACCGTGCCTAGTCCATGGATTCTAAATAAAGGGTCTATTTTGTATTCTGTGTTTTGAAAAATACTTTTTCTTTTTTAATTTTTTTTTTTTTTTGCATTGGCATCCCATTCATAATGAATAGGCTGCCTTAATGCAAGGCATGTTAATGCATGCCATAACATGTGAACAGGCCCTCAGTGTTCTGGCAATTCTAGAAAGTCCTAGAAGCTACAGATTGAAACAGAATAGGAGGGGGATTTTGTTAACACTAATATTAACATGGCTTGTGGAAATACAGGTGCATCTCAATAAATTAGAATATCATCAAAAAGTTAATTTATCTCAGTAATTCAATAAGTGAAACTCATATATTATATAGATTACATACAGAGTGATATATTTCAAGCATTTCTTTCTTTTAATTTTGATGATTATGGCTTACAGCTAGTGAAAACCCCAAATTCAGCATCTCAGAAAATTAGAATATTGTGAAAAAGTTCAATATTGTAGACTCATGGGGGTTGATTTACTAAAAATAAGGTGAAGCAATAGATTTTAGACACCTAATTGAAACAATTAAGACCTTGCTGTGAATGGAAAAACGACTTCAGTTAGGGAAATGCCTTTTACTAAATTTCGAATCAGCGAAGTTGCTTTTACATAACATGTAATGCTAGACTTGGTCCCTAGAGGGTGTGGGCCCAGGATTAAGCCAATATTCCATTTCTTTGTGTGTGTAAAAAAGAAACAATTGGTGGATGAGATTTGTTGTTTGGCTTTTTTATGCTAATTCTATTATTAATTCTCTTTCCTATTTTGTAGTGTTTTTTACATGTTCTGCAAACAAATGCATTTTTTAATGAATGTTACAGAGTAATGCATATTATTTTCTAATGTTAAATATATGTCTAAAAATTAGTTTTATCTTGTTATATGACTAATAATTTTGAATGTATAATTCAAATTTTCTTATCTACTTATAATGATATATCTTAATTTCTTGAATCGTGGTACTACTATATATTCTAGACACTGCTATGGGCAACATTGTGGCTTAGTAGTTAGCACTTCTGCCTAGCAGCACTAGGGTTGCCGGCTTGAATTCCAACCACGGCACTAAATGCATGGAGTTTGCATGTTCTGCCTGTGTGGGTTTCCTCCCATACATCAAGGACATGCTGGTAGCTATTTTGGATCCTTTCTAAATTGTCCCTAGTGTATCAATGTGAGTTAGGGAC